TGCGCATTTTTTAATAATTCTGTTACTGTCTGACCGGAAATGTTCAGCCCAAATTGAAAGGCCTGGTATGGCTACCCAGCACAAGGTGCACTTCAGCAAAATCTCTTGCATAGAATAGATGCCATATTGAAGTCCAGCCAGTCTTGGTGTTTGCAGTAACAAAAATAAATTGGTTGTAAATATTTGGGTCTATGAAACATTAAAACCCAAGCTGGAAAGCACCAGACTTGCCGGTGCGATCGTGCATTTTTGCATCAAGGTTGAAGCAATTAAGTCAACTACATAAATAGTTGTTCGTTCACACCTACCTTGTGCGCTCGATACCGCAAATCATCGTAAATTTTGCACAAACGAAAACAGCAATTTTCGCTTGGCGTTTGTTTTTGAAAATGACCTAGCTGTTCAACGAGCAATTTCCCCATCGAAAAATTTAAGTGCACACGAGAACCGAGCGTAACTGGAGGGATTGTATTTGGGCGGGGAATATCCTCCTAAAATCTCAGCTTTTCTGGTTCCCGACTTAGCAATTTTCCCACCAAAACTTTCACTGAGCCGTACATAACCTGGAGGCGTACCTGGGGACTGACTCTGCAATCTTTAAGTTGTACGTGGGCTGTGAACATCCCTCTAAAATTTCAGCCTCCCAGCCTTCCTGATTCCTGAGTCAGCCACTTTTCCCTCAAAAAGTTTCACGGGGTCGTACGTGAGAACCGCGCACGCCTAAGAGCTGACTTTCACAGTCTTAAGTTGTGCATGGTCGGGAACATCCCTTCAAAATTTCAGTTTACTTGCTTCTCTCGTTCTCGAGTTAGCAATTTTCCAGCCAAAACTTTCGCGCGCTCTCACGCGAGCCCAGACTTGTGTAAAGGCAGGTACCGCAGTCTCGGGGTGGTATTTGACCGGGGAATCAACTGGCAAAATTTTGGCGTCGGAGCTTGCTTGGTTGCCGAATTGAAATACCCAGACTGACGAGCACACAAACATACACACACATATACACAAGCAGACAGGGCCGTTTTTGCAATTCGCATACATGCTAAAACACACAAGAAATCAAGCACTGCTATTTAGCCTCTATTTAGCTGTTATTTAGTTGCTTTTTAATGGAGACTGAAATGTACGTGCATTCCGAAATCCCAGCACAACGCGCATCGGCTGCCAAGCTGCTGATCTGTTATACAAACAAATTCTACTACTAATTAAATTGAGCACTTTGTACAAATGATAAAAAGCATTCCAAACCATACTTCCGCAACTACAGCATTGCGCACTGAGTTCGGACAGCGGCTCTGGGTCCGACTTGCTCCGTCTTTGACCTTGTCTTCTTCGGGAATTCGACTTTCGCCGGCGAGAATTCGCTCTTCTCATTTTTTTATTGCCTAAGGACCTTACAAAAATGACCAGTTAGGTGCTTGTTGCTTTACGGGCTGGAACTTTCCTTGCCGTTTTAAAATTAAATTCAACAATATTTGTTTTCACTTGAATACGAAGCAAAGAGCTAAATTCACTAAGACCGCAGCAGCTACGCTATCACTGTTTACTGCGAGAGACTTTAGAATTTTCAAAAGTAATAGAAGGAAAAAAGTTTATTGAAATTATTTGAAATTTTGGCTTGAAGGAAGTTTTTGTTGCTCAACACAGGGTTGAGGAGTAGAAATCGCATTCGCTAATTTTGCGATAAACCTTTCCGGAAACATGCTATGTGAATTTGTTACTCTTTACTTCTTTCGACAGCCGAAATTCCAAGTAATTTCAAAACAAAAATTTACCAGTTTTTTGGCTGAAATGCAACCGAACATTACTCGTTTTCCGCGTTGCACGCAGCATTCTCAATGCACCAGTGCTTTACTATAAACTGTTAAGCTCGCAGCGAAAACTTACATGCAACCGTGCTCAAAACGATTGAGTTAAGTAAATGACTGCAACTGCGACAGGATTTCCCTTTTATTTAGCATTTCGCGCATTTATGAAAATTTAGGGAACCTGCCCCGGTCCTCCCATCTTTGCACCTGATACGTTTACAGTTGCTTTGATTAATGTTGTACCGCCTAGTGGCCAGCCTGTAGGCGATGGATGCCAGTTTTTCCGCCCCAAGAGGACTATCAACTCGACGATTTCTTCGTCATAAGCTTTTAGTAAGCCGTTTCGAGGCGTTCACTGGTGTATGATGAGCTTTAACACCTCATCCTGAATGTTGCTACTCTTCAAGCACACAGCAAAGCACCTGCCCATAAAAAACATGTTACAATTTACTGTTTTTTGCTCAACATGTTAATTTGCAGAAATTTTTATTCTCCATCAGGTTCTGAAAACAACCTGAGCCTTTCATTTTTTCCTGATGCGCACAGTGAAACACAATTTCAGTCGATTATCACCGAAGGATTTACTTCACCATCTGTATGGATTCTCCTGTGCTAAGCGAGCCCAGACCTGAGCGGAGCGGGGAGAATGCTAATTGTATTGGTTGTTAGAAGTTCAGCCTTATGCTGTTAGTTTTATATTAAAGCGTCACAATATATATTCCTTTCATGCATTTTATTCCTTTATTACTTTCAGTTTATCAGTTAATCCGGGCAATTTGTATGGCGCATTTGTCACGGTAATCCATCGGTATCGATTAAGTTCATTTTCAGATATTCACTGCGAGTAAGGATGCGTCCTTTCCAGAGGAAAACACGATAATCTCCTTTTCGGATTCCAGTTCGTAATGGAGACATTTTGTTGGCTAAAACTCGGACTAGTCCTAACTGAAGGCTCACTGTTGCGGGACCAAAACCACGTAAACGTCCGAATTGCAACGTAAGTTCGCGTTGTATTCTTCGGCATACCTCGTTCAAAACCTAAAACAAAGCACATTTTATAGATCCAGAAAAACAAGAGGACTGTAAGTTGCCGACATCAAAAACAAGAAAATGCACCAGACCGGCATTCTTTCGTCGTTGAAGACATCAAAAAACTCCAGCGGACCGGAAAGCGGATACCAGGATGGGCCGATTCTCACTGATTCCGTTATTATGACGCGTTTTGTCTATAAAAATTATAAATTTTTGTCAGCGTAGTCGTGAATATTATCCTAATTACGGCCATAATTATCTCTATCTCAAGCACTGCTCTTTTGGACTTCGTACGTAGCTATTTGGTCTCTACTACATTACTCATGCTGACAGTAGTCAGAACCACTCAACTCTTGCAAAACAAAATATGATACAGCGCCTTCTCGATATTTTCTGAGTTACAGAGAATTGTAAAAAAGAGCCGCAAAAAGCTAGCAAAAAGACTACCCAAATTCGTATGCAGATACAAGGTAGAGATGGTGCCAGATTTATCATGATGTACGTGGGCCGATGGTGCGATGATTTAATACTCATATAAAGGCGAATGGTTCAGTGTTTTCCTGGTTTATATTGAATTGCGAAAGAGAAACATCTCGTTGCCGGAAGA